CTATCAATATACCATGCCGACACATGAAGACGGTTATCTCCACAACCTTGCTCTGTAGCCCTTTGCAGTAAAATTAAAGGAGCTTCATGTGGTTCGGGAGACGTGTCGTGATGTGGGGTGTAAGTGATGTGTATGTTCTTGCCGCCGTTGGCTGTGTGTGCTGCTGAGGTGGTTGCCGCCCTGTGGTGGTGGTGGGGGGCGTCGCAATTGACGTCTGCGACCGAGCAGCACAGCACGGGCCCTCGAAATTCCCCGTCCAATCTCGCGTGGTACGCAGACCTGAACATGCCCTAAAGTGGCACCAGCCAAGGCAGGTGTTGCACTTGACTGATGTCACATTACGGAATATCCTGGTCTGACATACCGTGCAGATTGTAGGGGGAACCAGGAGTTGTTGGCGGCGGCGTGTGGGTGGTGGTGCGGTTGTGTGTGTTATGTGGTCTGTCGTGGCTGTGGTATGGTCTGTGGTGTTATTATGTTGTTGTGTTGTGGTGACTGTGTGAAGCTGCTCGGGCGGACTGTGGTTAGCCGTGGAGGCTGCTCTGTTTGAGCAACAGGGGGCCACGTACGACGTAGTCCACTGTCTATGTGTCCGTAGTCCCGAGCAGACTCTGAGGTGACTCCACCCCTCGCAGGCATTACACTTGACTGAGGTGGAGTTGTGGTGTAATCGTCTCCGGCATACACAGCAGGTGTAGGTTTCTGGCCCTGGGTTTGACTCGATGCCAGCCCTGAGTAGAAGAATACGTAGTGAATGTAGCCCTATGGACCGTCAACTTCTGAGATACTTCGCCGACCTAAACGGGGTTAGATCGCCGAAACAGCCCTTGTAAAACCCGAGTCATTCCGGTACGTAGAACCGGCTGTCGTGGGAATGTTCAGGGCTTCTTTTGGCGTGGTTCTGAGCGCTCCGCTTATGTACATCCTACTGGACCTTTTGACGTCAGTGAGAAGCCTGATGTTGACGCAGGCTACCACACGAACGCTCCATACAGGCGGATTGGTCTAACGACTGCTTTAAATATCCATCGGCAAATCCGGGGACTGAGGCCCCATCTCTTGCTTATGGCCCTTTCACAAGTATAGCCTTCTCATAGCGCTGCTCTATATTATCATTCCAGTTCAGCTTCTTATCTAAAATAACGCCTAGAAATTTGGCTTTTGTAGCGAGACTTAACCGGACGCCGTTTAGCCCCGGTTGGAGTAACCGAAGGCATTTTATACCTTATCGTGAAGAGGACGAGCTCACATAGCGTTTGCGGAAACAATCCACTGAACGCGATCGCAATGTCATCGGCGTATGCAACGACTTATCCCACTTATGATCACATATATGTATCACGGTAACCGTTTTACCAATTTGTACCAAACTCTGTATGGTTATTGTGCGTGCCACACAAAAGCAAGGCTTAGAAAATTATTGAATACTAAAATTGAGGTCGCTTTTCATATAACGGTAAATGTCAGAACTGCCTGAAACTTCAATATTTCGAAATTTAAGGACTCAAAATTGATTCACCCCGGCTAACCATGTAGCGGTAACTTTCGGAAAGGTGATAATCATATATTTAATACTTGCGCCGGGTATTTAATGTTCGGCTTCGCCTGAACTTAGACTTTCTTACTTGTTATTCTTAATTATACAGTATTGGACATATCTATAGCACCCCCCTTTCAAAGCGATATTGTTTGCCACTTATGTTTAATTATTTGTTTTTAAGAATTTTCAATTAAAATACAGTTCATTCTCCAATAAAACCCATATAAACCAATGTTTTAAACTTTTTAAAAGACCGCAAAAAAGTGCAACAAACTTTCACCTAAATTTCAAACTTTTTTCTCAGAAGCTCTAGAATTTTGAGTATTCTAAAAAATCAACGGTAATTTTTAGCCACTTGAAACTTGCACATTGTTAGACTAAAATTGAATGGGCTATAAAACTGTGTATTCAAAAAAATTCTACCGCTTCTGAGAAAAAAGTTTGAAATTTGGGTGAAAATATGTTGCACTTTTTTGCGGTCTTTTAAAAAGTTTTAAGCTTGAGTGTATGTGAGTTTTGTGAGAGAATGAACTGTATTTTAATTGAAAATTCTTAAAAATAAATAAATAAACATGAGTGGCAAACAATATCACTTTGAAATGGGGGTGCTATTGTATTGGCCAATACTGTATATGTAACAACGCCCCAAATGTCTGGGTATGAGTGCCAATTAAAGTTTTTGGTTTTATGAAATGCTGATTGGGCGTTAAGTGCTAATACGATTAATTGCAATCGTACATACTTTTCAAACAAGGATACATTATTTGTCAATCGTCATGCGGAATATGAAAAATATGAAGGTCATATGAGCAACTTCCCGATGAGCAACTTCCCGATGAGCTGAAAATGCTTGCATATTATCAAACTGACGAAAACGGTGCTATGATGACCCATGCCTACGAAGAAGTACCGAAGTACTGTACATTAAAACTGGTATATCTCGAGAAAGAAACGGCGAGTCGCAACAAACGAAAATGAATTTTTAAGGGAAAGAGCTAAAGATGCCCTAAGTAGAAACGACCAAAAGAGTTTTTTGTTTTCATAATATAACCTCAAATATCCCCAAAATTCGTCTTTTTGGCACTTTGAAGTTAGGATATCTCAGAATCCTGACGTGCCAGAGAAATTCTTGGAAAATTGGATTTAGCACCAAAAAATATACAAAAAGACATGTGTTTTGCTCAGGTGGTAAAAAAAAACCAAAATTTGTCTGCGTAATCCAATTTAAACTTTTTGCAATGTTTTTCATGTGTAGGTATATGTATGTACGATACACTTTATTATTATTTGTTTATTTAATTTATTGAATACTGAGTTTTTCACAAAGCTTAGAAATTTTAAACTTGTGAATTTTATTGTTAAACAAACTAGCATTTTTTTAAACAGTAGTTTAATCAAATTAAAATAAAAAACTTTTAATTAATTTATTATTATATTTTATTGTGTTCATTTCATGTTCATAAGACAAATTAAATATAAACTTTTAACAGCGTGTTCTAACACGCGCAAAAAACGGCGCACTTTTGTACAATATAGAAAAGTGGCAACTGTCAAACAGCACGATTCACGAATACCATGACAAAACGAGATTATATTGGTGTAATTATAATACAATTTTTGTATAAGTTGTCGTCGAATAAAAGTGAGGATAAACGTGACAACGCAGGCTTTTCTGCGCATTTTTCTGACAACTTGCTAAAGCGATAGTACTTACTGTTTCCCGTGTAAACATTCAAGAAGTACTTTTTGCAAATTTTCATATATCCCTTTCTGAAATAAAAATTGAAAGATTTAAAGATGTAATTGAAAGAACGCAAGCCGCTTTTGGGAAATAATGCCAGCTTTCCCTGGTGTACTAGTAATTTCCATCAAAGCTTATAGAATAAAAGATTGCGCCAATCGAGCTGAAGGCAACCGGGTGTAATGTCACAAAAGCGAAGGAATGAGAGAGCAAAGAAAAATTTTAAAGAACAAGAGGAAGAAGCTAACATGTGGTACGAAATACTCATGTAAATGTAGATAAAATTGTACCTACTACTCTTCAGCCTTTTAAATTTGAACGTACATATATGCCATACAAACACACCATTTAAGAATGTGGGCCTCCTCGTGCAGGTGGTGTTGCGGCGACATCAGGAGGCATCCGGTCGCTGTCCTAAGAACCGTGTTCTGGCAAGTCTGCAGCTTCATCCACTGCGTCCTACTAGTCCCCGGTGACCACACTGGCGCAGCGTAGTTCAGAACCAGCCGGCCAATTGCCCTGTACATTGCCAGCAACGTTTCTTAGTATTTGCCCCAGGTGCTGCCAGCTAGCGACTTGAGGACCTTGTTGCGGCTATGTACTTTGTTGACAATTGCGGTTGTATGCGCCGAGAAGGAGAGCAGACTATCGAATGTTACTCCGAGTATCTTCGGGTTGTTCACCGTCGGAATTGGTGTATCATCGACGTGAATTCCCAGTTGGAGTCTGGCCTCATTCGTCCACGTGGTAAAAAGTGTGGCTGAGGATTTTGTAGGGGAGAGGGTTAGGCTCCGAAGCGAGAAAGCCGGCGAGATAAACGTTTATTTTCGAGCACAAGTCATCAATTCTATTCCCAGACGCCATGATCGAACAATCGTCAGCATAAGAGACAATCGAGAAAGTTAAACAGTAATGGGGAAAGGACACCACCCTGTGGAACCACCCCTCAGATAATTCGCCGACCACCGTTTGAGTCACTCTGTGGGAGAGAGGAGGCCTCTATGTCTTCTAGTAGCGTTGAATGACTGACAGTGTTGAACGCCTTAGACATGTCCAGCGCTACTAGAATGGTTCTCCCACAGGGCCGCTTTCGGTTTAGGCCACGAGTTATCTGGGTGTTTATGGCGTTAAGTGCTGTTGTTGTGCTGTGCAGTTTACGGATATGAGACGGTTTTCTTATATTTAAGTTGCATCTTATTCCAATTTAGCTTTTTTGTGATTAAAAAAAAAACAATTATACCTACTCAACGTTAAATAAAGAAAAATTAAGGGAAAGTACAGGAAATTTTTGAAATTAATTGCAATCATAAATTTAACTTTCAATAGAACATCCCAGCTCCAATTTTTTTTTTTTTGTTCATCGATTGTATCGTTCTATGTAACTTTCAAACGGTATAGGCGTAATAAAAGGGGTTAAACAGACAACTTAATTACACGTATATTCAAACGAATTAATTTGTTAAGCACTTTCTGATGTTTATAAGTTCGTCATTTCTGATGTTTATAAGCTGCTTATGTGCACATTAAACTTCAAATAGTAGTATATGCGTCTGTGGGAAAAACTTTAATAAATTCTAATATATGAGATTAATTTTATTATGCATTTCTCTAACAGCTGTTATTTTTGTTTAAGCGTATGTGTAGCCATACATGTAGGTAAAGGTGCATTTATATGTAAGGCTCGTGTCTCTTTCTACTGAATCGAAAATATTTACTTACGATAATATTTTAGGCAATTTTCTGGTAGGCACTGAAGTGATTAATTGTCCCCAGACTAACGTACCGATGCCAAAAAATATGCACCATAGCCATTGGTCAAGAGATAATGCCTTAGTGGAGAAAGCCATTTTACCATATTGTATGATTACGACCTGAAATATTTATGCAATTATTTATGCAACACAGAATTAAAGAACTCTTAAACAATATACCTGGGCGATCATTGTAAAAACCCATATAGTGTAAAATATAGGATTTGTTAGCAGACCTTCTATCACGTTTCTTTGTCCATGTATTTTTCTTGCATTAATCTCATTAAATAAAGTCATCATAACGAATGTATTGAATATAATAGTAAAGTGTTGGGTAGGTCCGGCACCAAGATCTTGACCACGACCTGATTCAATATCAAGTATCCAATCGCCTGAAATACACAGAACACATAAATACCAGTTGAACATAATTATTTTGTTTGTATGGGTGAACTATTTTCATTCGAGTACAGTATTTATTTGCCAACTTAAATCTTACCCACAAAGAGCAGGCCGAAAATTATAAATAACTGATACAGGGCTTGTCCTAATATGTTTTTCATCATTGTGCGTGATATCAGTGGTTTGGTACGGCCGTAGGGTTTGCGCAATAACAAATCAGGTGTTGGAAGTTCAGTAGCCAAGGCCAAAGACGCAAGAGTGTCCATAATGAGATTTACCCACAACATTTGTACAGCCTACCGAGTTGATAATATATACATATATATAAACGTGTTTTTAAATTTTCGCATGGCCCTATTATGAAAGGCGACTGGTGTCCAATTGCTGGTCTGTTATCCGTATGTACTGTGGGTTATGAATAGAGATTAATCTTATTTCGAAGTTATTTGTAACTTTGATCCAATGTGTTTGACAATTTATGTAAAGAAATAGCAAAATATTCATAAGCAGAAAACAGAAAATTGCGCTCCCAGAGTCAGTAGCCGACAGCCAGCGAGCTGCCATACTCAATGCGAATTTTAGTATATGTTTGCCCATCGACTATCAGTTGTATTCACTATAGGGCCATAATTACAATTTTAAAGGAAATTACTTTAAGTGGTGAGTCCTGCACAGCACATGCACCAATAAATGCAACAATTACAGCAACAACATTGACAGTCAGTTGAAACTGCAAAAATTTAGCAATGGAATCATACACGTTACGTCCCCACATCACCGCTTTCACAATGCTGCTGAAATTATCATCTGTCAATATAATATCTGAAGCCTCCTTAGCCACGTCAGTGCCAGCAATGCCCATCGCAAAGCCTACGTCTGCCTTTTTCAACGCGGGACCATCGTTGGTGCCGTCACCAGTTACAGCGACTACTTCACGGTTTTCACTTACTTTACTATCAATGATACCTGCCAATTATTATTATAAATATAGTAGTATGAACTAACACTTTTTCTTGTATGTAAAAGATCTTACCTTTAACAAGCGTGTATTTGTCAGTAGGCGACGACCGCGCCAAAACACGCAGCTTTGGCCAAACTTTATCAAGCAAGTGTTGTTGGACCTGTCCGCAAACCATGCAATAGGAAATAACGAAAATTATATGAATGATCAAAGATTGCAAACGCAATTGACTCACATCTCCGTTACTGTCCCTAATACGACGATTGAATTCTTTGCCTTCCAATATAAGGAAATCTTCATTTGGACGCAGTATACCACATTTTGAGGCAATTGAACGTGCAGTGTTAATGTTATCTCCAGTAACCATACGAACAGTTATACCAGCACGTTGACATTTACGTATAGCATCAGGAACTTCCGGACGGACGGGATCTTCAATACCTACCACACATAAACACGTTAAGTTCGTCATAATATTTTCTTCATCATCCCAATTCGGTTCGCCATCAATATGAACTTCGTTAATAGCCGCTTTTCCAGGTACGAAATCTCGATAAGCGACAGATATGGTACGCAAACCATCGCAAGCCATTGGCTCAATAACTTCACGTATCAGCCTTTCTTGCATATCACGAGTGAATTTCTCCAGAACGCCGTCATGCCCATAAATGAAAGAACATCTAGATTTGTTTATTATAAAACACACTTCTTTATAATATCACGTAACATATTGTTACATACTTTTTTAGCATAATTTCTGAAGCTCCTTTTGAAAACAGGCGATAACCACCATTTGGACGAGGTATGACAGTACCCATACTTTTACGCACCGAATTAAAAGTATATACACGGGTGAATTTGTCCTCAGTAATTTCGTCCCGAATAGACTGATATTTCACTCCTAAACCTTGCACGAATCCCAATAGAGCACACTCAGTTTTGTTACCGACTTGAATGGGCAAGTCCCCAGGATTTTGTCCAGGCTGAAATAATGAAAATTATCATAATATATGTATATGGTATTCACACATTTATTTCACCCAAGAGTAAATCAGTTTAACTTAAATGCAAATTAAATTAGGGCTGCCAGACGTTTATAATCTAAAATCCGTACACGGGCGAAAATTGGTGCGTGAAAAATTTGTAGAAAATCCGTACGCAAAAAGCTATATAGGTAGATGAACACAGATAATCCTAATTCCAACGACATCAAAGATAACAACACTTTTTTCCACTAGACATATTTATTTTTAACATCACAGACAAAGTGATTGTTTCTCTGACTAGAACATTGTAGCAATCTATTACTATATTTAAAGTTAAGTTATTGCACCATTGCTATAAAAAAAAATAAATTAAAAGTATTAAATTCAATTACAAAACAATCACAAAAAATACTTCATTACACCAGGTGAAGCAATTAGAGCGAGAATAAAGAGTTTGACACATTTATTATACATTGCATTACAAGATAAAATTGGTTATTTCCATCTTTTTATTTATGACTTATATCCCAAGCAACTCCATACGCATTATAACTATACACAAAGTTTTAAGCAACATTATCAAAAAAAAAATCATTTGTCCTATACCCTTAATTAAAGTTGAATTTGATTTTTAAACAGGTGGTAACCCTTCCACATGTTGTTTAGAAATAAAGCCTTTTCAAAACCATTTTGATTAATACACATATTGTAGTAATTCAGTTAACTTAATTATATTTAAGTTTCTCCTCGCCGAGAGAGAGAGAGAGTATGCGTGTTTCTACAATCGGACCACGGCAACATAAGAGTCTATCGATGTCAAACCTTAATCAACTTTATTTTCGTTGTTTTGAAGGAATAATTGTACGTCCCGCTCTATTTACTTGATTTTAAACATTTACAATTTTAAATGTCGAAGAACGTCTTTTCTAAACATTTTGAGTTAAAATTTCTATAAAAATAATTTTGGCCGCCTAAATCGGCCAAATACCCCTATGTGCTTTCGTTGTATTAGAAAAAATGAGGTGTCAAATGAAAGCGGTTGGCCTCTACATAAGCATAAATGATATTTTTTTTTTTGAACAGGGTTGTTATCTGTTAGGACAATTAAATCTCAGTAAGCGAAGGTATCAGTTCTGCACCATCACTGCCAAATGAAATGGCTTAGGTTATAGATCTGCAAAAATTTATTATTTTTGAAGTAGGTTGCCACCTGTTTAAAAATTACAACAGCTTCACCGTTCCTTGGATAAAAAAATGAGATACCAAATGAGGGCATGGACCTCGCATGCACGAAAAAATGTATTTTTTGAGTTGGGTTGCCAGCTATTTAAAAATTACTCTTTGATCCTAACATAGCATAAAGCAAAGTTGAGATTTTTTCACCACGCCAATCTGAAATGTGCGGCCGCTGTGGTGTAGTGGTTAGCAGTGCGCGTTACCATTCCGCAGTTCTTGGGTTCAAGCCCGGTTCAACCCAACATCAAAATAAAAAATTTGGTTTTCTAAGGCAATGGCAAAACTCTGAGTGTATTTCCGCCATAAAAAACAGTTTCTTGTAAAAAATACAAGCGCCGTTCGTCGTCGGCGTAAAACTGCAGGTCCCTCCCCTTTGTGTGACAACATAAAGACATCACAAATCGTAGAAACTCGCCTAAGCACTAGCATACATATGTATGTGTAAGCGCCATTCTATTATCTATTATTATTATTAATCTCGAAAATTACAGAACAGATTTGGACGAGATTTTGCTTAACGTAATCTGTATTGATAGGTGTATTATTTTTAGTACTTAGAATTTCTATAGGGTTGCCACCTGTATACAAAAATTTAAGATCTTTTGGTTGAATAAGCTTTTGTTTTTAGTGGGGTTGCCGCCTCTTTAAAAATTACTACCTTGCCTATAATACGTGAACGCACTTTTTGTTAATGACATTAGATTTGCGCAGTTATTTCAATTTAAACAAGTAAGAAAGTCTAAGTTCGGGTGGAGCCGAACATTAAATACCCGGCGCAAGTATTAAATATATGTTTTTTCACCTTCCCGAAAGCTACCGCTAGATGGTAAGCCGGTGTGTATCAATTTTGAGTCAATTAGCGTCCTTAAATTTCGAAATATTGCAGTTTCGAGAATTTCTGAAATTTACCGTTATATGAAAAGCGGCCGTAATTTTAGTCCGATTTCTATAATTTTCAACGTTTTGCTTTTATGTGGCAAGCACAATAAAAATAGCGAGTTTGGTAAAAATTGGTAGAACGGTTACCGATATACATATATGTGATCATAAGTGGGCGGTGCCACGCCCATTTTCAAAAATTTTACCATAAACGTATTTCTTGGTAAAGAATTTTCGCAAGCATCAATTTTGAATAAATTAACTTTAATATTTACCAGGGACCGCAAATAACGATTATCCTTTGAAAATTCAACTCAAAAAATCACGCGGAAAGAGAAATGCTACGTGCATAAGGAGTAAACCAATATATTTCTTATTACTCGGAGTACCTTCAGCGGCGCTGATTTTTATTTTTTAATTTTTACTTATAAAAATCAAGTTTAATCATTATATTTTGAGTTTTATTTTTTACTCAGAAAATAATCGCTATGTTTTGAGTTTTATTTTTTGCTCGGAAAATAATCGTTACGTTTTGAGTTTTATTTTTTGCTCGGAAAATAATCGTTACGTTTTAAGTTTTATTTTTTGCTCGGAAAATAATCGTTACGTTTTAAGTTTTATTTTTTGCTCGGAAAATAATCGTTACGTTTTAAGTTTTATTTTTTGCTCGGAAAATAATCGTTACGTTTTAAGTTTTATTTTTTGCTCGGAAAATAATCGTTATTTCTTGAGTTTTATTTTTTGCTCAGAAAATAAAACTTAATTTTTGCGTATGCGTATGCGCATGCGTGAATAGACAGGGGGCGGCTGCATTGAACCTTTAACGCCACTGTGGAGTGGGTAATGAAAATACAGATACCAGGGCAGAAACAAAGATAACCACATTTACAAAGAAAAAGTGCAAAAAAGCGCATACGCATACGCAAAAATTAAGTTTTATTTTCTGAGCAAAAAATAAAACTCAAGAAATAACGATTATTTTCCGAGCAAAAAATAAAACTTAAAACGTAACCATTATTTTACGAGCAAAAAAATAAAACTTAAAACGTAACCATTATTTTCCGAGCAAAAAATAAAACTTAAAACGTAACCATTATTTTCCGAGCAAAAAATAAAACTCAGTTACTAACGATTACAAAGTGATTTTTATAATAAAACTTATAACCGTTACGGTCCCTGATATTTACTGATTTATGGAAGATTTTGTACTTCTCTAAATTACCGTTATATGGGATGTGGGCGTGGTTATTGTCCGATTTTTTAAATTTTCGGCCATTTAGTATGCTGCACCAAGGCCAACAACTGTGCCAAGTTTGGAAAAAATTGGTGCAGCCGTTACCAAGATATACACATGTAACCATAAGTGGGCGTGGCTACGCCCATTTTCCAGAAGTTTTTAATATTTTTCTTTTTTATCTAAAAATTGTTGTAAATATCAATTTTGAGTGAATAATCTTCAGTAGTTACTAAACCTACATACCAAATTTTGTTGCGATATTTCAATTTTTGATCGAGTTATCGTGTACACGGACGGACGGACAGACGGACAGACGGACGGACAGACAGACACGGCTTAATCGATTTCTCTATTCATTCTGAGCATTTATGTACATATTTGTCTATATCTATCTCGATCCGTTTTGTTCTCTGTTACAAACAACCGTTATGTGAACAAAATTAATATACCCTTGTGCACAAGTGCGGTCGGGTATAAAAATGAGGTCTTCAGATGTGCAATAAGGTTTTATTTTTTCGAAGAGGGTTGCCACCTATGCGAAAAATTATAAGATTTGGGCTGTTCGTTGGAATACGAAAAAAGAGGGATATGCAATAAGGTTTTATTTTTTGGCCACCTGTCTAAATTATTAAAAGCATAAGATGTCAAATGAAAGCGCTTGGCCATTCGGTTTTTTTTTGCAATAAGGCTTTACATTTTTTAATAGGGTTGCCACCGGTTTTCTCGAAATGCGTGTATGTGCATACTTATGTAGACATTAAGCGCATACGGGGCCGGATAGTAAATAAATTAATACTTTATCTATAAAGCAATTAAATTACCATTTTTATTTCTCATTTCGGTACAAGTCAAGTAATGATTTATTGCCTCTGAAAATGGTTTCGCTTTTTGCTCAAAAGCTCGCTGGTTATGCCACTGGTGTTAACGTACTCCACGTTGACGCCGACGATTGTGGAGATGAAGAAAGAACACATGAATAAGACAAAGAAGACGAGCGAACATCAACATTCATAGGAAGTCGGTCACCACTTGCCTCGACTGCCGGCCTATGAATGCCGTGATTGGAGCACAATCACTACCTGTAGAAGTGGTGGAGCTTCAACTACCAAAAGAGAGACCCGCGTTATCCTGGCTCAGTTACGGTTTGAATATTGTATCCGCCTCAACAGCTACCTGTCCAGACTCGACCCCAATATCCCCAATGAGGGCCCGGCATGTGGAGACTCCCCGCATGACACCAACCACCTCTTCATATACCAGCTCAATCCTACTCGACTGACACCCATCTCCTTTTGGTCCGACCCTATTGAAACAGTTTGACGACAATGATGAACCGAAATAGGCGGGACTTAGTAGTGCTGCTATAACAACAACAACAACAACAAGAACAACAACAACAATAAAGTATCTTCCAGTAAAATCAGCAACTCGGAGCTGGCTTGTTCAACAAATAAAAACCAATAAACTTTCTTACTGAAGTTCCACTGTGAGGGCGAACCACCGGGTGGCGCAACTGCTACATTTTCCTTTCTGTAGGTACTTTATTATGCTGTTAATTATCAACATTTTCATTTTCAATGTACTACATATGCCACTTGCCTAATTTTTTTATTAAATTGTGCACTTTGATTTGACTTCTGCGGGT